AATACTTATTTACTGATTTTTCAGAAAAGTATACTAAATTAAAGTGTAAGCTACCATTCGATAAAGCAAAAAATAAAATATAGTACAACAATAAAACCATAATATGTGTTTTAACTTTGCAGGTAATCTGCATAACTTATATTAATTATTTTGTTGATGGATTGTTTTTATTACAACTCCCATACAATATAAATTCAAACGACAATAAATTAGTATATCAATATAATAGCACAAATTGAGCAAGTAGGTAACCATTCTTCAATATAGAAAGTGTCAAGTGCTTGAGTGTTGTACGTGTACCTCTTTATTGAATAAGTCATTGTAATGGATGTTTTTGATTTTAATTTAATGATAAATCATCGTTACAATTTCGACCATTCAAACATTTAAAACAATTCGAAACGACTGGCTGTCACTCTAAATAATGAAAAAAATGTCTTTAGACATTTTAAATCGTCAAAATGTGTATAGAAATAGTGTTCAGTGTTGGTATTTTGTACTATCACTAAACTAACTCACTATAACTATCACTTAAAAAAAAATTAACAAGACTGATCAGCATTTTGATTAATTCATGTTTTTAAAATGCAATAAACAAATTTTGGATCAAAATAAATTATTTCAGAACTAAATAGAATTTTTTTTTTGTCGTATTTGAAGATTATTTAAATACTTCTAAACATTATTTGGGTGGTGCTTTAAATAAGTTTATTTTAAAAGTGTGTTGTCGTCAATACTGAGTAATAAGTATATGGTTTGTCAATTTAAATGTGTAGGGTCACAACGTATGATATTTAGAGTATACTTTACATGAAAAAGTAGATGCAACTTATAACCTTAGCTAACGTTTGCATGAGAAGCATCAAGTAACTAAATGATTTAATGACGTTTAGGCATATTTCAACTAGGACAAAAAAAAATATTAAGTTGGTGTATTTGATTGACCGTAGATTAAGTTTCATTCAATATTAATTTGTTAGACTAGCAACACGCACAAATAAATATAATTTTTGGCAATCTATTTAGAATTTACCACCCAATATAAAGTCAAACTTTATAAACACAAACCAATTTTTAAGTTTCTCTATAATCTTAAAATTATTTTTTGTCCACGATGATGTGTCGATAGGACCGAATAATGCGTTCGCACATTTAGGATGGTTAGACATTGGCGGTCACCACCTTTTTTGTACCATTTTGGGTGAATTTATTTCAAAATAACTAAGTATCAAGTTCTAGTGAACATGAGTGATCAAATATAATATTGTTACCTAAGTGTTGTATAAAAAAATCGTTATATAGAGTTGGAAGCTTAATTTATAATTATTATTTAAACTTCCCTTTACACAATTCAAGGCTTATTAGGAGTTCAGACTGACAGTATTATGTACTTATGCAGTATGGCGTGTTTAAAAGTTTGAAATTACTATATAAGTAAATTCGTACAATAATAATAATATATTTTTGTACATCAATAATTAAGTTTACATATTTTAATAACATATAACGCATACATATCAACGAGAAGATATCACATTTACAACCTCTGTCTTAAAACTTCTGTATAAAAATTAATGAAAATCTCTCAAGGTTGGCATTTAAAGTGACTAAAAATCGGTGCATCCAACAGTTCTGAATAATAATAAACCTTAATACACACCAGCTTTGTGTGTCTGTGTGAAATAAATTTTTCATACATATGTTAGATTTGAACGCAAATGGCACTTACAATTCCACACACAGGTAGTTCGAAATAAATTGAGCGTAAATACTAAATGACACATAAAAGGTGTTAGCGTACTGACCGCATCGGTATCTAAACTCCCAAAACACAGGTTAACGTAGTTTTTTTGGTGGGGTGCGACTGAGGCAGAAGGGCTGTCGTGGCCCCTTATATGTTTTATTAAATTCTTGTAGAAATAATGTTAAGAGACATTTTGCTTTTGTGGGAGGTGTATTATAACTAATATGTAGCTTGTGGTCTGCAAAATAACTCGAACAAACGGTAAATTATATTGCCCCGGAATATCACATTATAATATTATAGTTGTGCTTAGGAAAATTAGTCACATGCCGTTGCTTATCGCTTGTATATGAAAATAGAATTCCAAGCTGTGTAGCTGTTCATTGCAAAACGTAATAATATTATGTTGAATATTTAACAGCGCAATATTATTTCCTTCCCACTTTGTATCAACTTTCTGGTATTTATCAATCCATGAATTTATTGTTCAATTTATTTCCTCGTTATATCGTTGTAATAATAATCGAATATTTTAATTTCCAAACTTAACAAAATATTACGTTCAAGGCTATATAATAAAATAGTCTGACCCAATTCATTTGTATATTAATATATAATACATCGTTTTTAATTATAATATATTTTTAAAAATTTTAATTTTGTAACATTATTTATTTGTATTTGTATTCTACTTATAAATAATTAGATTTTATTCGTATAAGTATTTTTTTATTTTTTAACCTATTCATAGGAGTGATAATATATTTTAATAAATAATAAAATATATTTTAAAAACTTAGTTGGAACTAAAAATTAACCACATTTGGATATAATATAGAATAATTATATTAACTCAAAATAGTTCTATATTTTAATGTTGGTGTGTTTTTTCAAAGTATTAAACATATTTTTAAATTTAGATCGAATAAAAAATGTATTTAAAATATACTTAGTGTCAAATAATAAGTTGTCCATTGGGAATGCGTTGGTATTAATTAAACTTTGAAGTTTGAAGAATATAAATCTTTACTATAAAATATCATATAAAAATATTTACTTAAGAATAATTATTTTCTAAGATTTTTATAATATTTTGTTATAATCACCGAATGTGAAATCATGCACCAATAGTGCTTTGGACATTTATGAATTCCTACCTTTTTTAACCTTACGACTGACGCACATTTAATTTGATATATGTCTACAAAATATCTCATTGACAAGTAGGTATGTACAATTGTTGTTATAACTTATAAGTCCATTGTGTTATGTATAATATAGTGTCAAACAGTATCCATTATATTACTTTTAATATTTCTTGATTTAAGTAAAGTTATAGAAATATAGAGAGTATTCGTTCTTAAAATTGTATCTTTACATACAATTTAACTAAATTGCACAACTATTATTCATTACTATATGTATTATTTCCATTACTGGAATACCTTCGCGTGTTATATTATACAATATATACTTTATACTTTATACCTACTCATTTTCATGATTAAAAAAACAATAATGGTTACAAACGCATATTAGTATCCTATAATAATAGTTGTTAAACAAAGAATACTTAACTCATATTATATCATCACATTATCATTAAAAAAAATCGATCGTACAAACATTATGAATAATATAAATTCAGCTAAGGTTTACTTAGTACCTATCCACTGTAAAAATGGTTGTTATACTCTTTAAATATTCAATGTATAAGTATAACAATATTAATTAGAATTAATTTTCAAATGTAATAATATATTTATATTAAATAAATGAGATATAATTCAGTTTTTTAGTTGCAAAAATAAAAATGTACTTATTTCATTGATAGTAAAGTTGTTATTTACAATATATTATGTAAGCCAAATATTTCTTATTGTTTGGTCCTATAGTATGATATTTTAACCTACAAAATGTGGAACTTGGATAAACAATAATAATTTTTGTCATTATAGTGGTATCTGAATTTTTGGTCAGCTTATTTTTTATCTACATCAATAATTATAAGTAAAATTGTTTTTCATCCAACAGTAACACCTGGTCACTGCAAGACAAAATTACTGATCACAACCATAATAATGTTCATGAACAATTTGAAACAGATGTTCCGTATCACATAAAAAAAATAATAACTATAAAACGGTTATATTTCATGGGGTTTTCAATTATTCGACTTAAATTATTTAAGTTGTTTGAAGTTTAAAAAATGTAACTGTTTTTTTTCCTTAGAATAAAAATATACAAAACGAACATAACTGTTTTTTGTAGTAATTATTATGGTGTACTATAATTTTATTTGAAATATTTGAACACAAATATACTATACATTTCATAAAGAAGTTATTTTATATAAACGTATACAGCCATACATTAATAAGGTAAATTATGTTTAAGTTACACAACTATCTGTATAAATCAATGAAATCTTTATCGCAAAACTAAACAGGATTAAAAAATTACTCAAAATACTATAGAAAAATTATTATTTGTAGTAAAGTAACATTTATTTTACATACCTATATTAAAGTTATAACTTATAAGTTATAGTATTATTGTAGACTAATTCGTGTAAATTTAATTTATTGAAATATTTAGCCATCTTTGTTTCTATAATATTAATCATCGCCTACGATTAACATTTAAATGTACGAAGTCATGATGTTTGTCAGTAAAACATCCCATTATGAATTATTATGTTTATAAAAATAATAAAATTGGATTTCAAGAATTTTTTTATCAAACTTTTAATACTGAAAAATGTATATACCAGATGTTGAAAGATATAAAATACACAGTAAATTCGGAAACAATCGCTACAGATGTTTTTAGAAAAATGTTATTGTCCTCGCAATTTCAAAACAGTTTCAACAAGTATAAATTGTTGCTTGGGTATAAAAGAAAATGTTTTATTTTTTTATTTTATTACATTCGTATCGTTAATTATTTCTGGACTACTACTACTACAACTACTAGAAGAAAAAAACCTACGTAGTTAATTTTAGTGTTGCGAGTTTTTATTGCTATTGCAAACGATTATTTATATACACTATACAGCTTAAGCTTGATATAACATAAACATTTATTCGGGGAAATTTATGCTAGCCATAATAATTAATTGTTATAATAATATAATATTTTTATAATATCGTTAGGTATGAAATTCTACTTAAAACACACTAAATGAGTTTCGTCGATCACTTTAGACGATTCTTGGGAAATATTATTTAGAGATATTTGAGTATCAACTACTTACGGTTCGATTTCCCAGGTTCTTGACTCTGCAATGTAAGTACGCGGTTCTACCAACTAACCCAGTGACGTTATTTGGCACCGTTTTGTCGAAAACCGGGCCAATAATTGGTGGTGGGATATCCTGTAGAAACTCCTGCAAGAACTTTCTTGAAGCAGTGGTGTCTGTGAACAGAAACAAAATACTAGTTAATAACAATTATTATCGTTGTTGTTATTATAATTATTTATTTATTTTTTGTGAAATTTACGAGGCACTAGGCACTAAGTAGGAGTCCGACCATAATCGAAATGAACGAACCTCTGAAGATATTTATAACAAAGCCTTATTTAATTTGACAGGCTACAGTTTCACAAAGTGTAGGGTATAATTGTATTTTATCGTTTCATCTATTCGCATTAACGTGTACCAATTTTTTAGACGTACAAAAATAATTTATTGATCCAGAAACGGGAAACTTTAAAAACTTGGGAATGTCATTTTTTTTCCTGCATAGTAGTGAATCAAGTATTTCTATCGTGCATAAATGCATTTATATAATCTCTAAGGAGGTTAAAAATATAATGCTATAAAATACTCAAAATAGTTTTAATCTGTTCGATTTTTGTTTCTTATATCTGATCCGTCTTAAAAGTTTTTGTAAATCGACAATCTAAGAATTAAGTTTTGTGAATATTTTAAACACAATATTGTAAAATTGTTTGGAAGGTCAAGGATCACATAACGTTGACATCGCACAAACGAACCCGAGGTGAATTTTATTCCTTGACTATAAAATGTAATAATTGCTTCTCATTATTCTTTTATACTAAAAAATATAGATAAAATTACTTTCACATTTTCTGATGTAAAATGATGTTTATACTGTAATATGTATTGCAATTTTAAACAAGTTAACCATACAGACTTTAGATTAATTCAATAACATTACTATAATCTGTATATTTCAGGTATTATTAAAATGTATTACCTAACTAAATATGATAATGTAATAAAATAAAGTTAGAGAAAATTAGTGTTTTTACATAAGGATGAATAATTGATTTGTTTTATAAACCTTTTGAGACATCGATTGGTTTTCAATGATATTGATATTGATAACCCTCCTCCGATATTAATTATCGTGACATCATATTGTTCAATGTGCTAGGACAGCACCTAATCGGTGTATAAAAATACCATAAAAACCGGTTGAGATATAGTTTCTGAGAATCAAATCTTTTTTCACCACGGTAGATTGTGGAAACCAATAGGATGCCTTCACTGAGAGAGCCGAAGCGTCGTGCCCTGAGACTGAAGTTGGGCAAACTATGTGTCTAAACCTATACGGTATTTTTCTATACATGTAGTGAGATTTACCAAGCCGGGACGGCCGGTACAACGTGAGCAGAATTCATAATCACGTATCGGGCACCAAAAAGTTCTACCCGACGCGACAAACGCTCGCGTATATACATGCAACAAAGTTGATAATTCCATTAATTCCTGACGCAGAAGTTATCTCAACGCATGTACGTTGAATATTAAAAAGAGACGGCTCGCGACTTGGCGTACCTTATACTTATATTATTATTATTATTATTATTATTATTATTATTATTATTATTATTATTATTATTATTATTATTATTATATAACTATATAGTGTAGGCGTAAAGGGTGGGTGGTAAAGGGTAATGGTGAAGGATGGTGGTTTCGTGGCCGATGGGGGAGGGGGGGGGGACGTGTGCGATAATTATTGTTTATTTTGATATGCACACGTCGGTGGTGGCTTTCTGTACGGTGTTTTATACAAACTTTTGCTCGATCCCATTAAAATTCTTCGTGTGCCCCCAAATGGCTAAATATTATATTATTATAATAACATTATAAACATGTAAATTTCCGGCAGTTTAGGGTTATAGGTGCCTATTAATACACCGATCATCGTCACCACCACCGCAGCCGCAGCCGTAACCTCTGCTATTATACGCATAATAATAATAGTCGTCGATAAATAGGCGTTATCGTGGCGCGTGTAAAATACAATTTATTATAATACCACGGACTTACGGGTACGATTACGATTTATCCCGCGGTAAACGTAAAACTGTTGTTGTCGAGTATTACAGAAACGTTTGAAAAGTCACCGCCACCGACAATGCGTTTTCCACCGATCGATACCTTGTAAAACCTTAGATGGTGAGATTCAAGATTCCAAGTGGACAGAGGAATTTATTAGTTTTACAAATGACACCATGTTTTGTTTCAGTCAGTCGTGAGAACGTGTGTTTATTTTTCAGTTGAAAATAGTTTTTCGAAAGTTTCATGGAGCAACTTTTTAGATGCAGACGGTAATAGAGCCGGTTTTTACGGTATGTTTTCTCCACGCAAAAAATACCAAAGAAAAATTGTCGAAATTTACGACACGCCAGTTTAAAATGAAATCAATACATTTGGTTATTTCGGCTATCACTCAGAGAATAAGAATAATAAAAAAATATATTATAAAATATGGCTCTTGTGGTATAATTTTTATATTTTCGAGTCAAATTATATTCTTAGACTTACTGCAATGTAACAAATTTACATTTTGGTTATTCAAATATTAAGGAATGCGTTTAATTTAATTATATCAATATGACCATATTAATACTGTACACAATAATGTTATTGAACCTTTTTACTTGTTAGTTATTTGTTTAAAAATGTTCCAAAAATACTTTGAAGTAGATAGAAATGTGGTAAGATGCTAAGAATCACTTCATGATAAACTATAGGTGTTTATATTTGAAGATACGATCGGTTACTTATACCACCCTGATTTTAAAAATTATAACTTATTTATAATCGTGCATACCACGCGCGAATAGGTGAAAGGGCTAAATCTCAGTTTTGTTTTAAATAAGTGTTTAATATTAATAATGCAAAATAACGTTGCTTAATAAAATTAACCTATCGTTAACTAAGAACATTGCAATGCTTACAACACAAATTTAATAAGAAATAGTGTGTTGCAAAAAAAACGATTCAGTAAATCAAGACCTGCATTTGAATAAAAGATTAAGTTTTATTAAGTTTTATTTTATCAAACATTGTGTTGTTAAAAATATTTTCTATTTAAGTGGAACAGCAACAAAATCGTTGTGATAAAATTGTCCTTGTTTAATATTTTAACTCAAATTGAATAATTCAAAGAGACGTTGTAGAACATCGTTTTATGATCACATTATATTATTTTATTATTGATAAATCATAAAAAAAACTTCAATTTTGAAGTGCATAAATAATTAGCCCATGTAATGCACAACGGTTCTTGGTATATATATATATACGGTCCATATATTATAAACAGTATGTGCAGGAATATGCTCATTCAATTTTTTTTTTTTTTTTGTCAACCAGTCATACGTTTTATGAATTTTTCTATTGAATCAACTGAAAGCATCATATATATTTGATTTCAAATTGTAATGATTGTGAAATATTTTGAGTACCTACAAACATAATATATGTATTTCTATATAAAGCTTAAAAATATGAATCCAGAATAATTATTTATATTTCATATAAAAACAAATAGAATCTTTATTTCTATTTTGCTTTTGTCACATTTTGCGTAAGATAATTTTATAATTTCTCAGTATAATATGTATTTTCTTAAAAGTATAATAACTATGTTGTCATAATAATTTGTTTTTTAACAAACAAAATTGATATTTACAATTTTTTTAATGCATTATATTATAGATAGTTGTATGTTTTTAATTAAGAATTGTGTCATATAATATTGTATGAAACATAAGAGGTTTTAACTGGTAACTGTTTTATATGTTAACTCTTGAAGTATGTATAATTGGTGATGGTGTATTAATTCATATTACTGAACCATCAATTCTATACAATAAATAAACAATTTGGATTGCAACTAATATTTCTGAATCTAATGAAACGAGCTGGATAATATCTCTGGCACGCCTCTTGTGGATATCAGCGTTAGAAATTTTGATTTTGTGTCACTGCCTGGCTTTGACACAAAACTAAATCAGTTCATGTAAATTGCACATTGATAATTCTCACATCCACTAAACATAATAACTACCGATACCATTTAAATGTACAGTTGTGGTTCTGAATACACAAATAAATATTAATAAAACAAGCATAGCCCAAATATCATATTTTGAATTTCTCGTATACTAAAAATAAATTTAAAAAAAATATGTTGTGTCAAATTAAATGGACGGTAAACTTAGAATAATAATATTATAAAAAAAATTCCAAAGTTGATATATGTAATCAGAGTTAGTATTTTCGATTTTTTTGGGTAGTAATCTTCAGAATATTTTAATTATCACATATTATTATAATATTTTATTCATATAGTGCATGAACACTATAGTTTGGTTGGTATACAAATTTTCATTCTCTGTCATACCAGTAGGTTCAATAGACTATATACGAACGTAAGTAATAGCAATTTATTGGTTTATTAAAATTGATAGTGTCACGCTCACGCATCTTCATATACAAGATATATAATTATATATTTATATACGATACGTCCAATTACACGACAATTGCAGATGGTGATCACCATCACAGACATAATACAAAATGTCAGCACAAATGACTTAATATATTACCATGCGTTTGAACGTGACTAAACGTCTGAAGCTCAACTGTAATTGAATTGGTTATTGTAGTGATAATGATATAATATGGACTAAATATTATGATGACTAATAACCAATACTATATGATATGAAATAAGGAGTGAAGAAGTGATGCGAGTTAATAAAAAACTAATTTACTCAAACCTCGAAATAAACGAATAGCATAATAATAGTATAATTATTAGTTATATATCAAAAATAACGTTAAAGTTTTAACGTTCGACAAGATACTAAAAAATTTTAAGGATACCTATTGTAATTCTAGGTAACAATTACAATAATGATCTATAGCAACTAACAAAGTCCTTTTTGTATTAATTATCATAATAATCGTCGTAAACTTACTTAACGTAATGAGTAGAACTTTCGGTTATTTTATCCTAGAAATGATCATTGTAAACTCAGTGCACGGAGTAACAGTTTTATTGGGTGAGGTGATTTAGTTGCAATGAAATGTGCTCTGGTTGTGGCTTATTTGGATACGATAAGTTGACATATTGAAATTGGAA